TGAATAAAGTTGAAGAAATGCTGACCAACTCTTTTTGGGGGGTGAGCACAGACCCCACATCCCAATAACGCCAGGAGCTATGCCAATCTTTCACAGACTCAGTGTGTGTGTGTGAGAGAGAGAGAGAATAAAAGTTGGAAAAACGCTAACCAGCTGTGTGTCGGAACTGAAGTCTGCAGGGGTTACCTGGACACCCGCCGCCCACCTGGATCAAGGTGCTGGGTCTTGCCCTACAAACCACTTGGTCCCCAGGCCAGGAGAACACTTCCTTTATTGTGCAGATGCCTAGACCCCCTGCCCACCTGCCCACCCTTCCCTTTCTCCTCTCAGACTAATAAATAAGCAAGCATGACACCGGGCACTAGCCTGGCATCCCTAGTCACTGCAGCCGCAGGCGGCTGCGGAGAGCTGGACCAGCCGCTGCCAGCGGTGGTGGTCATCAAGGAAGGCCACGTCAGCGTAACGGGTGGGCCTGCAGCAGGGCCCACCATGAGCACGGCCCTGGCGCTGCAGCCTGGCCAGAGTCAGGCCATGCTGGGTGCGGGCGCTGTGGAGGCAGCTGCCAGTACAGTAACTGAAGACCACCTTCTCCTCTGAGGAGTAGCCCAGCCCCAGCTCGGCCACCGGCAGGGTCAGGCTCCGCAGCTGGCACGGGCTGGTGGGGGCTCGGCGCAGGCGGGTGATGGGGCAGCGGGCGTCTGCAGGGGAAAGGAGGGAGCCGACCTCAGGCAGGGCCTTGGTGGGTGGGAGTTGGGGGTCACACACCAAGGATTTGGGGCCCTTACCTGGCCAAAGCTTCTGGGTTCCTCCAGCCTCTCCTCTCTGCTCAGCCCAGAACTCTCCAGAATGAGCCACAGGGGACCCCAGAACAGCAGGGGTGCAGCTCAGGTGGACAAGTAGCCACAGGGGCAACACACAGCCGAGCAGAACTCTTCCTGGGGCCATGGTGGCAGGTCCTGAAGGCCAGGAGCCCCACGCCCTCAATTTATGTCCCTGCCTGGGCTGGGGAGAGGGCATGCTTCCTTTCCGGCCCCCCTGTCCTGGGACCCAGAGAGCAGCTCCTGCCCCACCCACCTGCCCCCCAATCCAGACATTCCACAGGCCTGTTTCCGACACCCTCTCAGCAGCTGATTTATGAGGGAGGAGAGGCAGGCAGGACCTGGTCCAGGACAGCGCTCAGCACCCCTAGACCCGCTACCTGCCATTAGAAAGGAGTGGGGTTGTCCTGAGACCCCCAAATGTAGTCTTTCTCCACTGATCAGGCCAAGCCCCCAAATTATGAGCTAGGTAGAGCAGTTGTTTAGCTGGGGGGGGGGGCTTGGCAGGTAGGGAGTCCCCATTGTGGCTCTCAGCAGGGATTAAGACATCAAGCCTGTCACAGGGCCAGCGTCAAAACAGGAAAAAGGAGAGGCCTAGGGTCAGCCAGGGGCTGAGATGCCCAGGGCAGGAAGCCCACCCTGGGGGGACTCCTATCTCTAGAAGGGACCCTGCAACCTCAGCCCCCTCCTGGGGCTCAGAGCATCAAAGCTGGAGGGAGCCTGAGGGCCAATGAGTCTCAGTGAAAAGGGACCAGGAGTTGGCAGCAGGTGCCGGGGACAAGCACAGGCTCCGGTGGCTTCTCTGCCTGGCTGTCATCACGGGCAGTTAGCTTCCACGGCCACACTGGACTCAGTGAGGTGGCTCACCACCACAGAGGCTGCCCTATAAGACGGGGCAGAGCTGCGCGCCCAGATCACTCTTCACGGGAGCACATCACCAGGACCTTTATGGGTGGCTCCCACTGACAGCCTTTCAGTTAGCAATGAATTTAACCATCATGCCACTGGGCGCCTTCCAAGAGGCTAGAAGAGCGGGGCACTCAGTCCACGTCATTTCTGTTTATTTGAAGAAATGCTTTATTTTATGCCTGAAACTCAAATAATATCCCTCTACGTCAAGACAACAAAACTCAATTGCCAGCTGCTGCTAGTTGGTGGGTGGTATCAAGTACCAGCCAAAAGGTTGGCGGTTCAAACCTACCAAGGCACCTGAGATGGAAGGCCTGGTGACCCACTTTAAAATGCGCGGCCTTGCAATCCCTACACAAAAGTTCACTGTGACAGTGCTACGTGGGGACCCTGCACCCCTGCACTGCTGGAGAGGGGCAGCTGCTACTGAAACTGCAAACGTGGGGGACCAAAGACCAGACTCCTCACTGCTGCTGGGACCAGAGCCTACACTGCTGCTGGGACCAGAGCCTACAGATGAGCTGATGGCTCCGCAGGGACAGACGGGACAGACTTACTCGTGGTTGTAACCAGCCATGCCTCTGCAGGCAACTAGAACATGAGAAGCTGGTGGAGAAGCTGAGGAAAAGCCACGTACCCAAAGTCACCCAGAATCAGCCAACGGAGAAATGTGCAGCCCCTAACCTGCACTGCCTGGCCTCCAGGGGACCCTGCCTGTGCACCTCAGAACAAAGACCTAGCAAATCTACAGGAAAATCACCCACTGCACACGCTGTGGGGACATGGTCCTGCACTGGACACGAGGGGTCTGGGCAGGTTGTGGGTGACGTGGCTGGGCGGGGGCAGGGGTGCAGCCATCATGGCAGGGGAGTGAGCTTCCTCTGGGCGGAAGGCTGAGCGAGGGCGCACAACCTGGGACATTCCTAGGAATTAGTCCGACATCTCAGGCATTCCGCTTGGCGGGGGGGACTGCAGGGAGGGGAACTTTTCCACACAAGGTAGACAGCGTGATGAGACGGAGGCCCAGCGTCCCACCCTGGCCAGGAAACACAGAGGGAGCTCAAGTGCATCACCTTGGCCACACTCTGTTTCCAAAAAGTGGAAACCTGAACACTCAAGACACGCTGCCTTCATGTGGGCCCACCTGTGCTCTCTGCTCAGAGGCGAGCGCAGCCCCACAGGTTCACCAGGCCTTTCTTCTGAGGGGCTTCTAGGTGGACCTGACTCACTAGCCTTTTAGTTAGAAGCCAAGCACACCAACTGTCTGCACCATCTCTCATCCCCCTTCACAACACTGATGTCCAAACTCGGAAACACCAAGTCATGCCGGGTGTGAAGCAGAGAATCGATCTGGGGAAAAGAACAACTTCCAGACCAACAACACTGGTGATGAGGGGGTCTGGGGGTCTTCACTGCCTCGCTGCCCAGAGCTGATTCAGAAGATGCTGTCGGAGCCTTTTTAACAAATGGTGTTGGCAAAATTGGAAAAATATCTGCAAAAG